AAAATGCCAAGAAATAAAGAGAACTGCATTAAGATATACCTCTTGAATGGACTTCAGTATTTGATGATCATAGATTTTTTCTTATAAGTTACGTGCTTCAGTACATCTATTTTAAATTATGTTTTTCGGTATAATAGATATGTAATAATAAACAAAATGAAAGAAGTAGCGTATAATGGAAGAAGTGTCGGAAATTTTGCTTCCAACAGTCATTTGCTTTTAAAATTACAATCATAACATTTACCTTTTTAGAGTCAGAATCAGGGGTAGGGTTAGAGTTTGAACTACCTTCCTCAGTACCTGTCTGCGATATCTAGAATATAAGAAAATATTTCACCGACATTTTAAAAAGAAAATAAAACATTTTCAGCGAAGGAAAATGCCAAGAAAGAAAGACAAGTGCATTAAGATATACCTCTTGAATGGAGCTTGTCTGTGCAATCTGTTTGGTAGTTCTTGAGGCCTAAATAAAAGAAAACAGGATTTTTGAGCATCCTTAACTGTACAAATTTGAAGCTTTGAACGTTGAAATCAATATAGAAACGTACTTCACTTTCCCCTTCCATGACAGCCGTTATGAGCCTGGACACGGGCACCGCCATCTTTGATTTGTCTGACATGTGATAATATCTGTCGGCCGTGGAAGGCTCATGGGACATGTGCCTAGCTAGCACATCCCTTGAAGTGGGTACAGCCCTTCTGACTTCGGTGACAACGGATTTTCTGAGCCTAGTTGTAGAAATCGGTTTGTTTGAACCGAACATTGTATTCCACAATCTGCCGAGACCTTTGTTTAAGCCTGAATTGTCGAGTGGCTGTGGAGGTTTTCCCCCCGTGGGCCATTTAATGAAAATCGAATCCGACATCTTGAAGACGAAGTTCGGCAATCTTCTTGCCAGGTGGATATATTTTTGCACAAAGAACCAGAGCTCGGGTGATAAGCTGATCATCGCCGGGCCTTTGAAATCCATCTTATGCTTCGTTACCTGTAATTTAAAGGTTCCTTTAAAAATTGTCCTTGGCAGAATTTTCACCAAATAGGAATTTACATTGTTACTTATGTCAGCATTTCTTCACAAGACTATCTTTTTTTTTTTTACAAGAACTCATTTCTTTGATTGAGAGTGTGTATGCGTGAATGTGCTTAAGAGTATGTTTGATTATGTGTATGAGTGCAGCTTTGGATGCAAGCGTGTGTGTGGATAACTCACAGTCAGCGTGACATATCCCTCCTCTCTTAGCTGTCGTTTTTTAATAACGTCGTGCGTTATCGAAAGCACGGCTCCTGCCCTCTGGCCATTTGCTATAAGGATCCGGAAAATCACGTAGTCCCGAACCTTGATAAATAACTCCATTGTACATTTGATATGTGAGGCTTGGCGAATCTCGTCCTCTATAGACGCCACCAAGTCAGATTTTAAAAACTGATTGATTTCTTCCGGACTTATCAAATTGCCTGTTAAAAGAAACTTGATTAAATATACATTTATATGTCACTTATAAACCTACTTTCTTATGTATGCTTTTCAATGATTTTCCAAGAAACACAAACCTAACGCATCTGCCTCCACTTCTGTTCTTCGCTTCGCAATTTTTTTCCGCAAGCTCTTCCTGGCATCTTTCAACATCTGTATCATTCGATGCAGGTGGCCCTGCTTCTTTCCAGTTGGGAAGTCTGCCTTAATACAGAATGCTAAGAAGTCCCCCAAGCTTTGCATGTAAGCTTTAACAGTGCTCGCCTGCCACTGCTCCATGGCTGTGTTGAACCAAACATCGAAGATTTGTTCCTCATCTACAAGATCCCCTACAAAGAATGTAGGGGTCTTCCGCACCACCTTCCAGATATTAAAAATATGGGTAACGATTTGGTGCGCCGTTTTTTCATCTTGAAGCGACAATGGGCCCTTCAGGGTCGCTTTAAATCGGGCCAGGATTGGAACTTGAATTTAAAAAAAGTTAATTTATATCTCTGATAGCAAAAAAAATATTGAATACATCATTCCATTTTAGCAACTTACTACATACCGGAAGCATAAAAAAGAAAGTATTAAATTTAATGAGATGGAAAGACCAAATAAAGATAAATAGAAATGATTTCAAAATTCTAGAGCATTGGCTTACCGTCGGTACATGATTGGTATTTCTCTCCTGGGCTTGGGCGAGGCCAGTAGAGGATCGTGTCGTCAGAGGACCTAAAAGAAATGAAAAGTCTCTGTAACATCATGTGACATTACGAAAGAAAAAAGAAAGGCAATGTAGGAAGTGAATCAAAACTGAAATGAAAGATATTTTTACCCTGATGGTTTGAGAATATTTCTAAATATTTATCTGATGTAACAATCAAATTCTATCACATTCCTTTATTCAAGAAAAATGAAGATACCAACCTACTGCTAGGAACTTCTTCCACTCTTTCCACACTCTTCCTATAAATAGCATAAAAATTTACTATCAACAACAAACAAGTGATTCATTTGTCAAAATCATTTTCATTGTTAAGATCTGAAAAGTATTGCAAATGTAAATATACTCACCCATAAATACAAGCTTCTCTAACTGTTTCCATTCTTCTGATTTCCTGATCTTCCCTACCAAAATGTCACAAAACACTTCAGCAAATTTAAAAAAAATATATTCAGAACAAGCTTTAATCAATTCTGCTTCAGACCGTTCTTTTCATCATCACTATATCCCCTATTACCCCTGACCAAGCATACCAAGACACCTAACCACTACTGTTTTCCTAGTATACCCTGAACAATTTTAAATTTACATAGTACACCCATTACTCCTAATCCTCACTAAATATATCCGAACTCTTTTCCCATTAGTCTCACCTAATATACCTCTACGCATTACCCATTAAACCCTTCCTCATACTCACTATTCTTTTTTTCAAATTCAATTGATTTCCGTCCTACCAGTTAGAAGGTCCTTCTCATCAAGAATTCATAGTAAGATTATTACCATTTGGCATTAATTCACGAATTTTATTTGAAACTTCAACGAAAATCCTGAAATAGTTTCCAACGGTATTTGGTAACTCCAAGTGCGGGAAATGGTAACATAAACTCATTGAAGGCATATCTAATGGGTATGCCAAATGGATCAAGGGATTATAACGTCAATGGTTTCATTATATTTAACATACAGGGAGATGATACCCTTTGCTTCAATAGTTTACCAAATCAAAGCAAATGAGTGATTTGCTAACTTAGAGCGTTATTTGGTAACCTAAAGCGATAATTGGCAACTTGTGCGGGATTGAGTAACTTGTGCGGGAAATGGTAACCTAGAGCGGGATTTGGTAACGATATAGCGGGAATTGGTAACAAAGCCGTATTGGGTAACGTGCGGGAAACGGTAATCTGATTGCATTTCAATATTTTCTATGGGGCAAAGGAAAGAAAATGAGTATTACAATGTCAACTTGGTTGTTATGTGTTCTGTGGGATTTGAGAAAAGGGTGGGAAATAGTAACCAAGAGTTTGTGCATTAAATGGTTACTAAAATAACGGTTCGTTCGGATGCCTCTTAGATTATTAAATGGAATTGCCGAAGCTGAGTGACTAAGATGACAATAAAACTATGGATTATTTTAACCCTAATCCTTACTTAACTGTACAAAATCCTTGCTTATTTGAAAAATGCTTAATTTTTATGAGCAAAGAATTCCTGCTTTTATTCAATTTTACCCTTAATGTTTAAGAAAGGAATGCTTATTTTTACTGTGATCAATGAATTCCTGCAGTTACTGAATTAGTCTAACCCTTATCTTTAAGAACAAAAGAAACGTTTGTGTGATATTCAGATGCTTAATTCTTAATCAAATGTGATTCAGAAAGTTGCTGTATCATCACTATATCACTTGATAACCCCTTGTGAAACCTTGCAACGTGCAGCTGTCACCCATCCAAGTACTGATCATGCTTGACGTTGCTTAACCTGCATCATCAAGACGAGGGACATGTCGCATAGCAAGAAATGCTATCTTACTTGTAAATCAGTATAATTTCCTTTTATATTTCAGTTATTTTTTTTGGTTTCATTATTTTATTTTTGGTCAAATGACATACACTTAAACAATTACAATGTGGTTTATGATACACACTGAATTAAAAAATATTATGGGAAAAGTTTAAATTTTAATTTTCTCGAAGCAAGCTGATACGAACCGGTCCATCTCAGTTGTTTCTTCCAATTTTTCCAAGGATGCAGTGGGTGAGGATATGCATCTTTTTTCAGCTGCGTCCATGGTACTTTCCCTACAAACAGTTCAAATGATTATTCAGCTGTAGTGCAAATAAAATCAAATTTAAAGTCATACAAGTATGCTTGTGCTCACAAACCTTTCATCATCACTTGGGTCTGTAAGGTCCTCCAGGTGTAGAGAAGGTACACATTCATCACTACAAAATGAAGATATATGGATAATTGAAGAAATATATTTCTATACGATTGAATTAATGCTTCAAAATTCAACCTACGTCGTAAAGTTGTCCACAACTTTGGGACTTCGGAAGCGGAGGTCCTCAATGCGTTCTCTTTTGGAGATGTGGTGCGTCCTCCGCAGATGGTCCCCAAAGCGCGCAATGGCCTTGTTGCACAAAATACATTGGCGAACAATGTAACGCCCTTGCCTCACCGGTTTTTCAAACACCTCCTGCTTATGGACCTGCCTCATATGCCGCCGCATATGGACAACTCTCTTCCCACACTGTAAACAAGCATGTTTTTGTCGGAGTCTTTTTACAGTTTTCTTTTCCTTAACAGTCTTTCGGGTTGATGGTTTTTTCTTTTTACCTTTTCTGAACTTTGAAATTTCCTCCAGGGAAAATAAACTCTCTGAATCCTTTTCTGTGATTGCTTCGTTCAACATTCTCCTAAGCTCTCCTTCCCTGGAGGAAATCTGAGAGCCTGTAGTCTCAAATCTTCTATCTTTGGGGAGCGACACAGACGTTGAAACTCTGTCCAACTTGTGTGACCCACGCGCCATTTGGGACTGATGCTCCAACCATTTCTGTAGGCTATCCTCCTTCCACTGTTTCACAGACGATTCTTCGTTGGTATCATCTGGGAAAATATCCATAAAATATGACTGTAACTGTTATTTAGGAAAAACATTGTTAAAAAATAAGTTCATTTTTTCTTCAGCATGATTTTATCCTTAGCAAACTTATATTCTTGTTTCCCTTAGATATATCAACTGCAAATTATAGAATATCTCCGATATTATTAGATATTATAGAATATCTAGGTCAGATTCATTACCAGAGAAACAAGGATCTTTATTTCCCTGGGACTCCGCCACATCAGCTTCTAGAATATCTAGGTCAGATTCATTACCAGATAAACAAGGATCTTTATTTCCCTGGGACTCCGCCACATCATCTTCCATCTCTACTAAAAGGAATCACAAAATGCTCCAGTAATTACAAAATGCAACTCGATAAGATGATATGAAGGAGAAATAAATGATATATTATAAATATTAAATATCATAAAATTTAAAAAAAAAAATCAATATATATTTGGTGTCTATTATCGATAGGAGAAGAAGCTGAATTAACTCCTACCTGGCACTTCTGGAATAAACCCTCCAGATCCTTTAGAACAAAAGATATATAACAAAATTGATTAGATCTCTATCTCTTCTACACACACACCCTTACAGAGAGAGAGAGAGAGAGAGAGAGAGTGGGGGAGGGAGGGATAGTATATTAATATATTATATATATCTTTGTTTCTATGAAAGTTAAAAACACTCTTTATGTGCACGTTAAGATGAAAGCACATGCTTTATTTTCAAGCAAACGAAAGGTGGATTGTTTATTACCTTGCTCCGATGTCATTTCATGAGAGCTATCCCAAATTTCTGAAATGAAAGGTATTATACAGTATAGCACAAATACAGCTTGTAATCAATCACGCTTACAGTAAAATGATTTTTATGTACTTCAAAAACGCATTATGCATAGAGTAGGCATAACAAATTAGTTGATATATTTGTGAGTGCTCTTGTGTGTCTTACTGATGTCAACGGGGGGGATGGCCAAGCCGACAGGAATGGCAACCAGCTGACCTGGGCCAATTACTGGAAAAGAACAGAATTATGTAGATTTAAGATTTCAAATATTTCGTGCCATCTGCTTTTTGTTATTGAATCCGCAAACACATTTACACTTTTAATGTTTGCTATCAAAATGTTAGATATCTTAATTAATCCTCTTTCACTTTCTTGATTAACTTTATATGCGATTTGATGTAAGAAAATACAAATGACTACATGTAATACCTGCATCGGAAGGGAGAGACTCTATACCTTTTTCCTCACTCATACCAATTCCTTAAAAAAGAAACTATTCTAGGAGATTTTGCAACACATTCCTCTACATTAAACAAACAACTATTTTTTATCTCTATTCATTTATAAAGAACAAAAAGAAAACAAATAAGAATAAATATTAACTTGTGCGGGAAATACTTACCTTGACCGGACTTGGGAATTAGTGTAGCGGGATTTTGTAACAAAACTTGTGCGAGAAATGGTAACCTATAGTGGGGTTTTGGACGCGCAGAAGAGTTCCAAACACAAAAGAGCTCCAAACACAGAAGAGTTCCAAACACAAAAGAGCTCCAAACTCAGAAAAGTTGCAAACACAGAAGAGTTCCAAACACAGAAGAGTTCCACTAAAACCGGGATTTTTTTTCCGGAATTTTGCATTCCGGAAAAAAATTTCCGGTTTCAGGGATTTTTGCTAACAAACTTAACTTGATTTTAGATTTTCATTAAATATTTTCGTTAAACTGTCTTCTTTTATTCTTCGAATCACTGTTTAAAACTTAAATAGAGAATGTATCCAATGTATAATGATGCATAAAGAAAGGATATTGAACAATTTTGAATCATTTTAAATTAGTTAAAATGTATTGCTGAATAACGTAAAAAGTCAAATGAACCAAAGTGACATAATTGGTAACATTTTAAATCTGGCTATTTTGCATTATATATGTTTCTCAAATTCTCTGCCCCTTTATGACAATGAGAGAATTCTAATTTTCTCAAATTATCTCCGGTATCTGATTTCTTTGCATTTCAAATTGGGATCTTATACAATATTATACCGAGAGATATGTATAAAATTCAAATTACTTTTTACAATATGTTAATTAAATCTGCTCTCTCCATAGACTTCAACGTACAGTCAAATTGCAATTTATCAGACAATAATCAAACTTTGTAAATGTCTATGATAGATCATTTTTATTTTATAACATCTTCTAAATGATACCGTAAACATAAAAAACTGCACTAATCATTTATAAGGCAAAACTATTTTAAGTTTATCGTCATGCTTTACACTCATTTTCATTCTCACAGAGAGGTACCTCGCAATTTGCTGGGGTACCTCCTAATTTATTACATGCTCTCCGGGACTTAGGCGCTAATTGACGCCTACGTTACCCCCAATCTTTATTTACATACACACATCACGCATATTCAATAATAACTAAATTTGAAATATTTTTTTCCAGTTTGAGCAGAAAATTTCTTTGAATTGCGAATGTTAAAGAGAAATTCAATTGTTGTACAGGACGACAATTAATACCTCATTTCAATTATATCTACTCAATTTTTTTCCCAACGCCAAAAAACTGCACAACCAAAATTTATAAACCTTCAATGTTTTATAATGATTAACTTGCTTACAACATGAAATTCCTGCTCATATTGGTTTAAGTTTTACAGAATTATCAAATTACAATTATAAAAAATTAATTAAATAAAATTCTGTTTAATAGCAGTTGATTTTTGCGTAATTAACGCATTCTTAACTTGGCAGTTTTTCTCGTCTATATTATTCAGTTATAAAATAAAATGCAACCTTAACTTAAAAAAAGGAAACGTACTGTTAATCACTAATTTTCGTGGGGTTTAATTATCGTTATTTTCTTTGCATGTCGAGACCCAAGAAATTTATGTCATCTACGAGATGAAAAAAAGTTGAAGTTTAAGTAATTCTTTCTCATTGAACCATGAAATGAAAACCCGAAGAACAAATACAACTTGACACCACGAAAATACGTGATTTTGCAGTATACATATTAAAAGAAATTTTCCGTCTAAGAAACTGTTTCAAAATATAAATTCTAAAATATTCTCCCAAAAAATAAATTGTCTACCTTTTAGCGTTCTCTTCCCTGGCAAATTTTTCCGTCCGCACTCTGCAGCGTTAGGGACACTGTGTGCTTACACTGTTCTATGTGACGACCTAAAGATCCCACGCTAACCCCGAAGCTGGCGTTATCATATACACAAAGTCAGCGCGCGCTCTCTGTGATCTTGGACGCGCAGAAGAGTTCCAAACACAAAAGAGCTCCAAACACAGAAGAGTTCCAAACACAAAAGAGCGGGATTTGGTAACGGTATAGCGGGATTGGGTAACTTGTGCGGGAAATGGTAACCTATAGTGGGGTTTTGGACGCGCAGAAGAGTTCCAAACACAAAAGAGCTCCAAACACAGAAGAGTTCCAAATACAAAAGAGCTCCAAACACAGAAGAGTTCCAAACACAAAAGAGCTCCAAACTCAGAAAAGTTGCAAACACAGAAGAGATCCAAACACAGAAGAGTTCCACTAAAACCGGAATTTTTTTTTCCGGAATATTGCATTCCGGAAAAAAAAAATTCCGGTTTCAGGGATTTTTGCTAACAAACTTCATTGATTTTAGATGTTCATTAAATATTTTCGTTAAACTGTTTTCTTTTATTCTTTGAATCACTGTTTAAAACTTGAATAGAGAATGTATCCAATGTATAATGATGCATAAAGAAAGGATATTGAACAATTTTGAATCATTTTAAATTAGTTAAAATGTATTGCTGAATAACGTAAAAAGTCAAATGAACCAAAGTGACATAATTGGTAACCCTAACCCTAACCCTAACAGACATGGCTGAGATATATAAGAGATTTTGAAATACTTACAACAAGGTAGCTTCTCTGGCTGTGAGGTATGTATCACGCTTTGCATGACGCAAGTTAAGCGACGTCTAGCGTGAAGTACTATTGGGTGGGTGACCACTGCTCGTTGATAGCTACCAGGCGATATAATGATGAAGAAAGTAAAAGTCTGAAACACAGCTGATGAAGGCTTACTCTTCTGAATATTGACATTTTTTCTTCTTTCCTTAAGGAGTATATGACCATAAAAAGCAATCAAGTTCTTACTCAGTGATTGATTTGTTATAATTTGTAGTGTTTACATACAGGAAGTGACAATATTACATCCTCCAATATGGCTATATTTTGAACTTATAATATCAAGAAGTTAATATAACCCCAAACCCTGATCTAATATACTCTGACTCATTTCTCATTAAGCTGATCTAGTATACCTCCACCCATTACCCAATACACCTTACTTAGCACACCCTTTCTAATTATTCCTGATTTTTTTTTTCAAATTCATTTGATTTTTCGTCTTACTAGCTACTGGGATCTTCTCATGAAGAATTCAAAGTCTTCATGACATTCAAGGGTTTTGGAAGGTATGCAAGATATTATTTAAGTATTTTGATCGTTTCAACCAAAGTATAGCACTATGATTTCTTTTAGCGTTTTATTAAATGTGTTTTAATGAAGAGTTCTTTCCGCTATTTGGTAACACTGAAAAAAAGACTAACTCTAACAGAAAAAAAATTTTTTTTGGGGGGTCGTGTTTTCTATACGATCTGGGTCATTTCCTATCCAAAAAGATGGGTCAAATTTTGGTCATTTTGTGTTTTGTATTATTGAAACAGTTTCCAACGGTATTAGGTAACGTGAAGTGCGGGAAATGGTAACGTAAGCTCATTGAAACCATTTCTAATGGGCATAACAAATGGATAAGAGCATTATTGGGTCAATGGGTTCGTAATTTTTCACATGCAGGAAGATGACACCCTTGGCTTCAATAGTTTTTGAAAACAAAGCAAATGAGTGATTTGGTAACTTAGAGCGTTATTTTGTAACCTAAAGCGATAATTGGTAACTTGTGCGGGATTGGGTAACTTGTGCGGGAAATGGTAACCTAGAGCGGGATTTGGTAACGGTATATCGGGATTTGGTAACAAAGCGGGATTGGGTAACTTGTGCGGGAAATGGTAACCTTTTATCAATTGAAGCCTTTCTAAAGGGCAGGAGAATTAAAGAAGAGCAACAAGTGTTCAAAAAGTTGCAAGTTTATCACATTCTGAAAGATGACACTCTAGGCTTCTGTAGTTAAAGAGAACAAAGCAAAAGCGTGATTTGGTAACTTAGAGCGGGATTTGGTAACGGTATAGCGGGATTTGGTAACAAAGCGGGATTGGGTAACTTGTGCGGGCGAAGCTAAGCGCCGAAAAATTCGGGAACACGACTGAAGACTTTTTGGGCGGGAGAGGCCCTCATTTGCTGACCAATCAGAGCTTAGCCCGATTTGAGATGTCAAAGACTAATAACTACTTATTTTCTATGAAAATAAATAAAATTATAATTTTTTCTTTTTAAAATTATTTCAATGGTATTTAATAGTTACCACTCATAAAATAACAAGAAGTAATTCAAAACACTTAGAAATAATTATTTT